GAAGGGCGCCCTGTACGTTGGGCACGAAGTATAGGAAACTTGCATGGTTAAAAAGAAGGGCGCCGCCTACGTTGGGCACGACTTCCGCCTCATTTTTACAATGCGAGAACTCTATCTTGTATTTCTAGTATCTTTGATAGATATAAAGAGTATTGTTATCTCTTTGATTGTTATACAGTACTATATTTCGCTCAGCTCATTCATGATCCAAGTCATAAACCTGATGGAACGTCCCCGGATCTTTCTTTTCATTTTACGATTACTGCAAACTCACCAAACAAGTAATGTAGGACTATTAGAATTGTTTTCAAGAAGCATTGTAAGTTGTGAAATTTCATCGAAGTCAACAAGTGAAACGAATTATGGATTTCAAAGCATACTGGCTTCTCACAAAGTTCATCGCTCCGCTAGCCTTGACTATTGTTGCAGTTGACCTCTCGGACCAGGTAAATAAATTGTTTATGTATGTATGATCAGGAGAGGGACTAAGAAGACAAAAAATAAAGGTCACGAAACAGATAAGGCCTGACCTATAATAGCACACCTGTCAAGGGCCTCACACTGGCTTGCTTGAGATTGGCAACTTTTTTGAAATTATGCTGGAGGTCACAAACCTTAAGTGCAGCCAAGCGTCGATATTTCATATACACAAAGCACTCACCTATGAAACGCCAAAAGGACAAACAATTAAGAGGCGCAGTGCAAAAGTCAAGTAGCACATTGCAAAAGTTGAGTGACACGCAGTGCAAAAATAAAGATGCGTGAGACTTGACAGGTGCTGTAGACTATTTTCGCAAAATTTGAAATGAAAATTACCGATAACCTCAACTACCACTGAGGGACTTCCAGAGCCTAGGCCTAGGCCTACGCACTTTTGTGCTACATAGTTCACCAGTGTGCACGTGGCTCTCTATTCGACACAAAGTAGCTGCTCAGGCTGTAGGCTTGGCCACTGGAGCTACAAGTAATAGTGATCTGGTCTTACAGAGGTCAGACACAGTGGCGTCTCAAGGGGCGTGCGGGGGGGTTGGGGTGCACACACTCCTCTAAAAATTATTTGCGGGCCCCCCAGTCGCCCAACAAAAACAAAAATCACGGTCAAGTAGTTGACCTAAAATCCATATTTTTTGAATTGGCACCTCAACTCGATCGTCAAGGGCCCCCTTCACCTTCGGTCCCCCCCCCCCACATCACCACCCTCATTTTCAAGACTTCCATTGGTCAGACAATTTAGCGGGGACCAGGGAGGGGAGGGAATCCCTAGTCAGTGGTGGCGCCAGGAATTCCCCGACGAGGGGTCCGAGGTCCCCAACAGGTGGGGGAGGGGTGATGTCCCGACGAAAAATTTTAAAACTTTGCTCCCGCCATGTACTTTATTTTCACCAGGTTTTGAATCGAGGATTATCGTCAGCGAAGAATGCCACCGAGATGCTTGCCATATTTGGTATAGCGTATACACTCACACAATTTGCCTCAGGACCTTTTCAAGAATTCAAAAACGTTTCCTTGGTGCTGGTGCACAACAAGAAGGAAGCAAGGATTGGGTTGATAACGCTGTTCCTACTCTCTGCAATTGTCATCACACTCGCGTTATTAATTGGTAAACAATAGTTTTTTGTATAATTAAATAAGAGATCTAATTAAAAATTTGATCTACAACATTTAAACCATTTATAAACCATAAAAACAATAATTATAAAATTAAATTGTTCATTGTTGAAGGAATAATTTTGTCCTATATTTGTTTTTTTTTTTTAGCGTATACCGACTTTGGGTATTTTATAACTCATACGCTATTCCGCTTAGATGAGGATGTGGGCCAAGCTACAAGAAAGGCTGTACTGATGCTGAGTTTCATCCCACTTTTTCATGGAATGGTAAGAATGATTTACAGGAGTGATGTATTGCCCTACCTTACGTGTTATTCTACTAAATACTCAGTATATTGCCAATACTTACGGAAAAAAATTCCCAATCAAAGTAATTCGATTTGGAATCGAATTCACAACCTCCAGCCCAGAGTCATAACAATATAGGCAAGTCATATTGAGGTTGTAGGTTCGATTCCCACTGTAATAACTTTCAATTTTTTTCCGAAAGTATTTGGAAACATATTAATTTATTTGGTATGATAACAGGTCAGGTAGGGCAACATCATTCCTATAATATTTTCCTGACGCAAACATTGGAATATAACTTTACTGGAAGAGGGAAAAAAAAGTAGTAATATTTATTCTTTCCAAATCCCCCCCCCTCCCCCCTGCAATTTTAAAATCCCGATTGATGGAGATGGTACAAATTAATTTGATTTAATTATGTTTTAATTCTCTAGTCCTGGTATGTAGCAGGTTACCTTTTGCAGCTAAAACACACCACCCTTGTTGGGTCCGCATCTGTGATGGATGTTGCTGTTCAGGTAAACCATGCAATTGTTATTTTTTCAATGTTTGTTGAATACGGAAAAACAGATTCTAAAGGAGTATGTAATATACAGTAGGCTGTCTTCTCTTTTTAGATAGGCACTGTGTTTGGGTTACTAAAAATGGATATAGCAAACACAAGACCAGTGTTAGTTCCAGTCATTGCTGTCTACACTGGCATCTTGACTCGGTTCAGTATACTTTTCATTGGATTCCTCATTCACAGAACAGTGAGAAGGACGAACGAAACCCAAACAAACGTAAGGCGATTAATGTTGAATAGTGTGTAAAAAAGTGATAGACTTGGCTCCTTGACCTATTGGAGAAAAGCTCACACTTTTTAGTTCCTATGCATGTAATGCAATAGGAACTATTGTAATCACTCTTGCTATTTCCTATGTTTTTTATTGTGTGTAGTGTGTATGTGTGTGTGTAGACATTTATGCAAATGCGCATGCGTCAAAGAAAAGTTTTCCGACATTTTGTTTTACATCGCGATGCAGAGTTCAGTCAGGGCTCACGCTAACCGACCGGAATGTCGGCATAGATGAAACTATTTTGGTTTTACGGCAAAAAAACCATCTGCTGTTGGCATAGGTATTTTGAAGAAGGCCTAAAATAAAACTAAAATGTTTTAATACTTGCTGAAATACAGCGTTTCTTCATTTAGATCTCCATTTTTCACTTAGTCCATGCGACGTTTTTTTCTGTTGTATACGTATGAGTAGTCATATGAAGGTACTATATCCCCGACAGTTGGCTGTGCAGCAATGTACCCTTTGAATGCAAACTGAAAACAGGTGAAAATATAAAGGCAGCCGACTGTCGGGTACATAACGACTATCTAGCTTTCCACAAAACATGAGGCCTAAGCTAGGCCTAGTTCAGTATTACTGCGATGCAAGTGTAGGCCTAGTTAGATCGTTTAATCAATGATATCGTGTTATCGTCTAATACAATTAAATAATGTGTGTAATATTTAAGAATGCACCACGTGAGTGTTATGCGGTTGTAGTGTAGGATACGTAGCAGCTGTCTCTTCTACACATCTAGATGTGTATAAGAGACATGTATATAACAAGTATAAAC